CTTCCCTAATAAGACAAAGTTCCTCATTTTTTTCCCATATCGTGCTAAATGGAATGTTTAAACAGTTCCAAGAGAAATTAGAAAGCAACAGTTCTGAGAACAGATCAAACTCACTCTTGGTTTAAACAACTCCAAAGTTCAGTCTTTCTTGAATCAAGCACCTCCCCCACAAAGCTTTCAAATGCAAGAAACAGAGCTTAATCTTGTGGGATTTCAGAGGACAAAAATTCTTGGAGAAACACAGGCCATGGAGGCCTGGCTCATGAAGTTTCAGATGGGAACTAGAACTCAATCAAAAACTGAGGGCTGGAGAGATGGCTCAGCAGTTAAGAGTACTGGCTGCTATTGCAGAGGACTTGGGTTTAATTCCAAAAATACATATAATGGCTAACAACCATCCATACCTCCAATTCCAAGGAATCCAATGCCATCCAATGTGTGGGCATTGCACGCATGAGTGTGCTTACGAACATGCAGACAAAATACTCATATGCATAAAATAAAATAAGTAAACCAAAATACTTTTTTAAAAAAAGAACTGAGTTATTCATATGGTATTTTGGTCAGTAATCTGTTTTCATTCTGCCTGTGTCATAAGAAGTTGAGTGAGGTTGAATTTGAAGATAATGGACTAATATGATTGGTAGAGGAAATCTCAAGACAGAAAAGCATTTGGCCTGATGTTGAGAAGGCATTGTACTTATTAAGGAGATCGTCACTACTGAAGAGAGACTTCCTGTGCTACAATGGGATTGTAGGAAAGTGGTCCAGAGGGCAAAATACCATCCATCAGCAGCTCCATCTTGTGAAGATGCAAATTCATTTAAAGTAGGAAGTCTTAAGCAGAAGGGTTTATTTTATTATTTTTATTTTATGTGTATGTGTGTACTGCCTGAGTGCATGTAAATGCACCGAGCCATGCATTGCCCTTGGAGGACAGATGAGGTCGTTGGATTCCCCAGAACTGGAGTTATGGACAGTTGTTAGCTGTCATGTGGGTGCTGGAATTCAAACCCAGGTCTTCTGCAAGAATAGTCAGTGCTTTTAGCTGCTGAGCCATCTCTCAAGCCCCATTCCCTGCTTTTTAAAAACAACTTCTTAGGAAAGTATTTCCACAGGGTCAGTGCACAGAAGCTAATATACCTGTTGGTCCAAGCAAATCAGGATGTATCTTTTAGATTATGGCAGTGTTGTCCCTGTAGTAATGGTTTTGAAGGCATGGGAGATGAAAGACTCCAGAATCATGGACCTCATGAGGCAAGGCAGTGTGTAGTGAAACGTCTCAGCAAGAAGGTCCTAAGAGGCTATTGTGTGAAGCTGGTGAAGGTTATGCCTAGGCTGCTGAGGAGACCACATGATACTAGAGATACCTGGACTATGTAATACATACCAAGAACATCTGGGAACATAGAATGGAGTCAGACCAGTAAAATAACTATGTGTGTTAAAAGCAGCAGAGAAGAAGTCTTGAGGGTTGGAACGAGACAAGCCCTATAAAGCCCAGTGTTCTGTATACCTCTTATGTGTATGGGTTATCCAGGATTTGGAAACTTTTATAATTTTGCTGAAAATACATTCCATATCTTTTAGCCTAGAATTTTTATCCTTTTTCTATGTGCATGATGCAAAGATTTAGGCTTTCATACTGTCCCAAAGTTCCTGCATGTTTTGTTCATGTGTTTTTAAAATTGTATTTTGAGTGTGTGATCTAATTCTACCCTAATGTCAAGCCCTGATACACTTCTCCTCCTCCTCACCCATTCTGTTGATGAGGTTTTCCCCTGAGCTTTTTATTTGACTAATTGAACATTTCACTTCCAGCTGCATTTCAGTTTGCATTTTCTTCAGTATTCCTGTTTACTGAATTCTGTTTTCATATCCTGAATTGATTTCCTGTATGGGAAGTTCAGTTGGAGCAGACTCCTAGGATTAGGAAGGGGATTACAGGTTGTGGGGGTGGAGAATTGCCTTTCTGGATATGTGCATGGCTGGGCCACAAACAGGGGTTGGGATCCAGGAGGCACCAGGGTAGAGAAGGGGTTTCAGGTGGTGAGGATGGAGGTATTGCCTTGTGTGGTTTGTGATGATTCTCTAATGACAGTGTGGCTCAAGCTCACTCTGAATGGAGCTGGGGCTGTAGGCAGTGGGCTTAGAAAGACTGACTTTAGGAATGGGGGTGCATCTTGGGCAGGGATAGCAGTTTTGGTGCAGTAGGTACTAGGAAGGAGAAGGGTTTGCAGGTGGTACATGTGGAGGGATTTTCTTACTTGGTCCAAACTGGGCTCTAAATGGCAGTGCAACTTGAGCAATTAGAACTTTTCCAGTATTTCAAAGCACAGAACTTTCCTCTTTAAGTTATTAAAATATTTTCATCACTTTTTTCAAATATTTCCTCATCTGTATTTTTAAATTTGTCAACAATATTCTTCCTTTTGATGAAGGTGAGCAGTGGTAGGCAGCTAATATCTTCCTTCTCTCTAAGCATTGGTGCCATGCCTGCTTTACATGCTTGTACCATCTGGTCTAAACTCTGCTTTTGACAGTATGTGCTGTTTCATGTGCTAGTGTTCTCATGAGGAAGTTCAAGAATTTATTTTGGAATGAGACTTCCTATTTCCCAAGAGGAATCAGCTATTTTATCTCACACTGTGAAATGCAGAAGAGCCAAGCCTGGCCATGACCCTACTTAAGTTGAGTATTAAGGAATGGGTTCGGGATGAACTCTGGGATTGAAAGCCCTATAGACCCCAATAATGATTATAGTTCACTCCCATTTGCTGACCACCTAGCTGCCAACTGACTTTTTCAGTGGGAATCAGACTGATTAACTATCTGGAATGAAATAGCCAAGAGTTGGGGCGATGCCTCAGCAGTTAAAGTGCCTGACACACAAGCAAGAGGACCAGAGTTCAAATCTCCACAACACACATAGAGGCCATGAGCTCTGGGTGTGAATGAAGAGCTTTGTTTACTGATAAAATTATCTCATTTTTTGAAATAAAAACTATGTGACTAGCTATATTTATATTTGTTACAGAACAGAAGAATGTAAAAGTATTTGCAAAACTTTACATTCTGATTTGCTTGAGAGAACACTGGAAAGAGAATGCCATATTTGCCTTTATATAATCTGTATGGGCAAATAGCTTTATAACTTGAAGTTACAATTTACTTTATTTTTAATTAACAGCAACCAGAAGATGGCAGTATAGTAGCACGTTTCATTTCAGTGTCTTCACTGCTCTTTTGCACACTAGTGTGGACATGGTAAAGCTGCTGTTTCCCCATTTTCTGAATTTAATTATAATAAAATCATATTACAAAGTGTCTAATTCAGTTCTTGTTTTATTTATGTCAGCTGCTTGCTCAAGTATCATATTCTGGCATCCAGAGTTCCCTCCATTAATTGCTACTTTCTCATTTGGGTGACATTAATCTTTCTGGGTTATAAGAAACAGTCTTTCAATGTGCATAACATTGTGAAACAAAATTCCTTTTTACTTTTAGTATATTATTAATTATGTGGCAACATTCTTGAATCTTTTTAAAGGTAGATTCAAAACCCTATTTCTGACCATTTCAGCCTCATCTGTGAGAGTTCCTTTCCCACTGGTAGGTAGTAGGAGTCTGAAAACGGGAGTGCCAAGCCTTCCAATACACATTCCTCTACAATCACAGAAGTTCTAATTAGTTAATCAGCCTTGCAGAATCCAACACACGTGTAGCTTTTATGTTTCTCCGCACTTCCTTTCACGGGTTTGAAAATGAATGGATATGTGATTATGTAGGTATTTCCTAGAATACTATAGGTCAGTTGTATCCAAAGAATTTGATATTCTATATCTATGTGGCCAGAATAGTAGCCATGAGTCACATGCGGCTATTTTTTTTTTCTTGCAATGTGATTAGTCTGATCGAGGACATGAGATTTCAATTTACCCAATTTTAATTAATTAAAATTGAAATATTCTCATTTAGATAGTGTCTATCCCATTATACAGAATATCTTTTCGGGCTTAGTGATGTTCTGTAAGTTTCTACTTGCCGTTCTGCAGTTCAGTGGATGACAGGTTGAGCCATTCTGCCTCAGCTGAATTCCTAAATGACATTTCAAGTCACACCTCATATTTTATCTGAAAATATACTTGCAGCCATTATGCAAGATTGACGCATCTGAAAAAGAAGTCCACTCTATATACATCAGTATCTTCCTATCTGCCTTGTGTCTGTCTGTGGATTGCTTGTAAATGGCTCTTCTTTCAATTTTCTACAAGCAAGTTCAGTTTCCAAGTGATTTTGACTTGACTAGGATTATGTAGGTATGAGTGGGTCAAAATAGACATTTTTAGCATTTAAATGTACCAGCATTACTGAAAGGAAGATAAGAAAAATGTGTGTAAGGAAACTGTGAATGCAGGATTTTCACAGTGACTTTTTCACTCCACTTACTGACTTCATTGTGGTGATTATTTTATTTATTTATTTTTTATAAATTTGTTTTTATTGAATTTTTGTGTATTTCACACAGACTATCTCAACCAATCTCAGTCATTCCCCTCCTCCCCACTGGCACCCTCCTATAGCCCCCCCCACTGGAATTCATACATTCTGTCATTGTGATTCTTAACCAAGGGTGATCTTGCTCCACTGGGGAACTTTGACAATGCTTGCAGTCAGTTTTGATTGTTACGACGAGGCATGGTCCTACTGTCATTAGTGTGTAGAGGTAAAGCATGTTGCCAAGTGATTTACATTGCCCAAGAGGGTCTTCGCCTCCAAACTAAGAAGCATCTATGACAAAATGTCAGTAGCACAGGGCTGAGAAACCATTGCCAGTGACACCTCAGCGTGACTTTTAGTTTATTATCATAAATACCTTTCAATGTATATAATATATATGAGGCAAGACAGACTCTTACTTGGTACAAAACCCCGAAGAAAATGTCAGTACAATGGTTATCTCAATTATGAAAGGAGGACAAAGATTTAGATGCAGAGAGTAAGTTTGAATTTGTTTTAATATTAATCTTAGTCATATATGGTACTACAAAATATGCAATTTAATACATAAAACGACAATCTTACAAAATTAAGCTATTTTATAGGTGCTTTCTTGATTATCTGAATGTTTTATATAAATATTATATTGAACAATATACTTGCCATTTTTATAGTAAATTTAAATATTGCACAGCAATGTTTACCAAAATCTTGTATCAGGTTTCTTATGACTGTCTACCTCTATTTGCCTTCACAAGTCAGTTGTTTATGAACATTTTATTGAAATGTGTCTATACTGGCTTCCCATTCTGTAGGTCTTTCAGTTTTTGAAACTTGTTAAAAATACAATGGTTAAATAAAATGCATCAAAGGATAATAAAGTAAAAAGTAAATTTGTACAAGGATTCAAACCTCTCATTGGGGAGGATAGAGCTTAAAGTAACTCCTTCTCATTGGATTCTTTCCCACTTACATTTCAATGTAATGAAAATGTCATGAAACATCATCTTTAATTTCCAAGTATGGAAAGGTATGTTTACATAGTTGGAAAAGAACCCTATAATAGGAATCATGTATATTTCTTCTGCTATCTGATCTAAGAATTTACCCATTGTTTCAAAATACACAATAATTTAATTGTCTACAGAAATTGAAATATGCACAACTGAGTCCAAATATTACTTTCAAGGAGAGTTTAAATGTATATCCAAAGGCAGAAGAGGATGGACTCACTAAAGTACTCTTAGATCCTAGCTTCATGTCCAGTGCCTCCTCTATCATGTGCATCATCAGTGATTGAAATAATGATCTTGGCTTGGCTTGTCAGTGGACCAACAAAGTGCTAATGAAGTTTATTTGATGAAGAAGACAAAAATTATGGAGGTATCAGGGAAGGGAGCATACTCTGTCAGAAGAAAAGTAGAGAATGCCTTAATAGTTGGTATTTATTATTTACCTGATAGATTAAGTTGAATAAATATGAGCTAGAAGTTAATCAGAGACACTCTACAGAAAGGTAGACCATTGTGGATGTGACAATGTCTTCTGTGCTCGTGGTCCACAAAACCCTTCCAATGATTTGAAAACCTGTCCCTTTCATATTTAAGGGGAAAGTTGCCAGATCGCACTTATTTGCATCTTGGACTAGATGACAATATATAAGACATAAAATACTAGACAGTTTACTGTGGAGCACTCATGGCTTTCACAGTTTGTATGTAGATGCTGGATTAGATGTTAGTTTTAGATTTAATCCAGTCCCGATAGTGAGTCACTCGGGTGTAAATTCCAGGCTTGTTTTCTTTTCCACAGTCTATTCCCCAGCTAACAATTCCAATAAGATACCAGATACTTCTATCACGTGCAATAACCAGAGGCCCTCCAGAATCACCCTAGGAGAAAAAAATGTGGTTATTGAGATAAACAACAGAATTTTTAAAATGAGACTTAATTGTTATCTCAATGTCTACTATGGTAATACTTTGAACTGAAATGTGTAAAGCTAACTTTATTTTACTTATTATTAGTATTAATATGATAATCGAGTTTGTTACATACTACCTGTTAATGTCTTCAGGTGGAAAGTCATGTGAATAAGTCTAAGATTTTAGTCTTATCTTTGAAAAATAATTTAGTTTCTCTTAGCCTAAACTGGGGCCACAAACTGAACATAAATCCACATAAGCCAATTCTTATGTAAATAATGATTTCAAGACTTAACTAACGTGTTAAATCATCCATGAAGTCTCTCTTAACCCTATTATATAGAAATAATGTCTTGCTCTGAGCTAGATTCTCATCTTGTTCTACTCTCATTAATCTACGCAAAAGTATGCTGGAATGTGTAATATTTATTACTGAAAGGCTAAGGTGGAATCCCTGCTTCCCATAAAATTATTGAAAGTATATAAAATTGAAGACTTCTTGATTATCTTTAACCTAAGAGTTAGACAAAAGATTTATGTGTATGTGTGTATTGCCTGCATTTATGTAAGTGCACCCGTGTCATGCAATGCCCTGAGAGGTCAGAAAAGGCCGTTGGATCCCCTGGAACTGGAGTTATGAACAGTTGTTAGCTGCCATGTAGGTGCTGGGATTCAAACCCAGGTCTTCTGCATGAATAACCAGTGTTCTTAACTGCAGAGCCATCACTCCAGCCCCAGACAAAAGATTTAAAATTCATCTTTTAGCAATTCATTCAAAAGAAGTATTTTGTGATGACCAATTATAAATTTTTAGAATAAGAGAAATTACTGATTGAAGCAGGCAGGGACTTCTAAGCTCTTTCCCTTTTGTGTTCTTCTTAATTTCTTCTAGTGTTTGGTACACAGTGTGAAAACCTTGCTCCCCCAAAAGCAATCCCCCCTTAGCTCCTTTCCCTTAGACCTTTATTCTGAGATCTTCACTCTTTTACTGTACTAATGGTGTGACGAAGTACGGGAGTGTAAACCAATGAGAAGGGATCATCTGCCTCTCTATAGATTTATGCTTTTTCCCTAAGCCACTTGATTCAGCTTTATCTTGGACTACACGTGTTGTTCTCAGGGAGTGAGTGGAAGGATGCTTTTTATTCTAGAATATGTAGTTGAGTCCTGATATTTTCTTCTTTCGTTTAGTAACTTGTACCCTGATGAAATTATAAATTCATTGTGGATTTATAGCAATTAAAAAATGTTTGTTTCCCACTGTAGTGCCAGAGTAAATTGTGATTCACAATAAGTGAATGAATGCTATTATCATCATATGATAGTCAATTGCAGGTCAACAGTGACACCTTTACATATAACAAAGTACACATACATGTCAAATTCTCAAAGTCAATCTTAATTCTTCAGATAATTACTGTGTTCTTGTACCTAGGCACAAATACTATAGGCCACACTTTTATTGTTTTAGTTATTTATTTTTAATGCTTCAGACAGCCATGTTTTGAAACTGATAGTATGTTTAAATGTTTAAAACCAAGATGTTAGCGTTTGAAGAAAATGCTACTCATGTAATCATTTTTAAAAATGATCTGTGATGTAGCACACATATATAAATGAATGCAAGTAGGTATTTTTTCTAATTAGTGTAATTATATTAGGATATATGATAGTTGAGGTCAAATGCTTAAGCACCAGTGTTGCAAAATTTTATTTGCCATGGAGATATCTGTGTCTGATGGTGGGTTGCAATTATCAGGAATAAGATACCCAAGGGTTAGTAATGCCTGAACCTTGATTCTCTGACTTCCTGCTTGCTTTCCACTGTTTCCACTGCTTTTCTCTAATAAGACTTCTGATTTGTACCTGACCTTTATTTAGATGGCTCTTTCTATAAGGTGTTAAATGAGTTCTTATGGTTCTTCCGTTTCCTTTTTACATCTCCTCTTTCCTCCACAAGTTAATATGATAGAACCATGTTAAATGACATTAGTCTATACATCCAGCCTTTCTGAGTAGAGTCATTTTGTGGATTTGAGTATTCTTACCTCACAAGCATCTAATTTTCCTGTCAAGAATCCGGCACATATCATTCCTGATGACACGGCACCACCATATACATTAACTTGGTTACATACATCATTGCTTATGATCTCTATTTCAACTTCTTGTAGAGAATTTGGAAATGGACCTAAATAAGGAAACAATAAATAGATGAGGAATTGTTGGAAATCTTGTTATTATTACAGTTAATTATTGTGTCTTGCAGAGGACATATCTGAGTTTAAGCATTGGTCTTAAAACTGCAGCATTTGGAGCTAGATGACAGTGTCAGAATCAAGTTACCACTGAGGGGACTTCTGTGTGTAGACACATGCTGGGTGCTCTCATTCTTATCACTTTATTTGATCCCTGCAGCAACTACCAAAGATAGATGTGAGAATTCTCTATTTCAGTGGAGAAAACTGAAGTTCACTTGAGTTAAGAATCTTGCCATGCTCACATAACTAAATGGATACAATGATAGGTTAAAAACAAGGTAAATCTCACTACCAGGAATCAACCTAGAAACCTACCTTATCACTTTACAAAGGATACAGATATTTTCAAAACTAGAAATCCTTTAGCAAGAGAAATGCTACAGAGAATTACATTTAATTCTGATGGAGTCCTATTGCTGCCCAAGAAAGACAAAGTTCACCCTGAAAATAGCTTGACATGCTATTCAAAACAAACATATGTATAAATAATAAATATGAAGAAAATAAGTAGATCATGTTTTATTCACTAACCACATATTTACTGATTCATTGTAATACAAAAGTATCAGGACCTGACACTGATTCTAACTACTCCAAAAGCTATCAAAATACTGAAAGCAAATCCTAAATCCATCACTCTAGAGTCCAGCCTTGGAAAACAAAAGAAAAATGAGGAAGAACCCAATAGAGAGATGCTTTTGGAAGCCCTGGTCAAGAAATTCCAGTGGACTCTCATATGAATATTTGAAAATTGCTCTGTTCTGACTTTTTTCTAGTTCCCTGTCTAGATCTTGTAATGCTAATTGCTCTTGCCTTTACTTCTCCTTCACATCTCCTATTCATGATTCAGGAACTTTCTTTTCCCTTAGAGATAATAAGAGCTATGCAATTTGGGAGTCTTTTAGATAGACCCACTGAAGGGGTACTTCAATTGAGTCACCCTGTGTCCCTGTTCAGCATGGAAGAAACCAGACCAGTCTGTGTCCCTATTCCCTATTGGCAATTTGGGTAACCCCTTCAGAGGATGGTGTGATAATCATAGGAGGTAGGAATTGGCTAGGCAGTTAGGGTAAAAAGATGCCAAAGAAAAGTAGCCAGTTTCTTGGCTAAAAGTCAAAATGTCCTTGGGCCTGTTAGCATCATACTCTGTTCCAAAAGCCAAAAATGTCAAAAATGTTTTGGAGCTTGTATCTAAACCTTGAAAGATTTTAGGGTTACCTCTTCAGAGGGGAGAATGTTAGAGCACCCAAAAGCCCCTTAAAAAAATAAATGAAAGAAGAAAAAAAAAGAGAAAAAGTGATGGGGAGATATGGGAGGTGTTGGAAGAGAGGGAGTGGGCATGGATTTGATCAAAACATCTTATATGCATGTATGAAATTCTCAATAAAGTTTTTGTAAAAGTTAAAAAAAAGTATCATTTACTTGAATGTGGTACAGTTTTAGCTTGATAGCTTCTATTTCAAGTATTATTAGTCATTGACATAAAGTTTGATTTTTGTTTATATAGTTTTGAAATTATTGAAAAATGAGAAATTCATTTGATTATTGAGTAATGAGTCAAGGCAATTTTGTACATAAGAACTCCAGTGTTATAGATAGCAGATAAGTGTTTGAAAAGTCTTTGCACAATATAACAGCTCTGTCATCTTGGGAAAGTTGCTGAGAAACATTTTACCTGGAAATGGAGAAAATGTTTTTCTCATGCTTTTGGTGAGAGTTAAAATAACAAAATCATTCGTCACAGTGTTTCACCCCACATCCATTTTCAATAAATAGAAGGTATTAGAGTGAATTGCAGAGATTAAAGTTATATATTTAAAGTGTTCATGGTCTTAACCTCAATGTTAATACTGAACAATGAGAACATTAGAAAAAGAAATTTCTACATAGCAGAATCCTGTTTCTGCTTGGGAACTGGTAAATTCATGCTTATAAAATTGATTGTCCCACTGAAAAACAATGTCCAGTTTCTCTGCAGTCCATAGAAATTACCTAGAGACTTCTCTCACCATATCTCACATAATGCTGACATGTAGAAGGATCACTGACCATTGCTTTCTTTTCTTCATCATATCCTGCATGAAATGCTCCCAGTAAACATCTGCTAACTGCTCTTTATACAGATTTTTACCCATCTAAAATGTTTGTGTTAGTACCTAAGCAATGATTTGCTGTCTATAAAATCATATAATATTGTAGATGTTTTTAGGCGTTAACTGTATTTCAGCTACTTATTTCTTTTTAGCTTCAATTTTATTATTTATGTATTTATTTATTTATTTAATTTGTCATGGGCAGGTATACTTGTGGATCCACAGGGAGATGGCAGTCAGAGGACAGCTTGCAGGAAGGAGTTTGTCCTCTCTGTCCACCTTGTAGGTTCAAAGGGTCAAACTCAGTTCCTCAGGCTTGGAGGCAAGTGTCTTTACCTGCTGAGCCATCTCACCAGTGCCCTACTAAAACTTTCTTTGTATTGATTTTTATTTTAGTGAATTGGTCCAAATGCTAGCTTTAAATTGCAAATGTTCACAGTTCTTTAATTTCAACTACAAAATATCAATTTAAAGTGCTTAACAATATAATAAACTTTTATATTATTGACAATTCAAAGAAGAAAATGTACTGAAAACAGAAAGCTTTGTTTTGCAAGCTTTCAAAAGCTTTCTATGACTGATTAAGAGTGAAGAGTACAGAAGGTAAGAGTGAAAAACTTGAGCACCTCCATGTCAGTTCAAAATGCAGAAAGAAACCTTAATTCGATATCTATTGATTAAACTTAGTCTGATGTCTTCAAAGTCATAATGCTGTTTCTGAAAATTATTCAACTTGTTAGAACAATGGCTCATGCACAAGAACTTGAATGCTCGGCATTCCTGATCAAATTAAAAAATACTCCCAACACTGTGAGGAGGTCTTTGGTGTAGCTGTACCCAGGGGAAGCTTAAAGCACTCCATTTCTACTCTGATCAGAAAGTGGAGAAACCTCAGAACATTCCATTCTCTTTCCTGTTCATCACCATTCCCCAAAACCAGTGCAGATGCCTCAGAGATGAGGTCAAAGACCTTTGATTATAATAATGATTATACTAGACTCAAGGACAGAATTTTCAACTGCCTATTAGAAGGAAGTAGTCTTCCATAAAAATTGACTGACAAAGATTTAATAGATCAAATTTATACTGAGTCAGGGCGTAAAAAGGACATAAATTAAAAGCCAAGAATAGGAATCAGGATTGCAAGGGAGGATTAGAACATATGTGAAAAAATCCACCCAAGAGTGTAGGAACTGGAAACACAACATTTGAAAATCTGTTGTTTGCAGTTTTTTTGGGTATTGTTAAGGGGAGTAAAATGATGTGTTTATCTATCAGTGATAATGTCTCATGCTCAAGATCAGCTTAAGAGATACATGGATCAGAGGGATCCCATTTAATGTTTAATGTCAGACAATACCAGCTCTTCAAGTTTCTTGGCTGAGGCCATTTCTGTTTATCTGTTCCACAGCCCAGAAGCTCATCATTATTAGAGTTTGCAAATCATATGCTTTATGAATCATGTAGCTCTCAGACTTTCTAAATAGGAAAGATGGAGCTGAAGGAAGAACACAGGAAGAAAAAGCTTTGGTAGGTTTTGAAAGGGGAGTTCTAACAGATTTCCAGTGAAAATAGTATGTAAAAGAACAATAACTAGTGTTGGCTGAAGTTCTCATAATTTATGATGGGTTTGTTTCGATTTTCATGGGATATCTTGGTTTCATCTCAAATTGTGTATTGGGATTTTCTATTTTTCTGGATATTTCCATTCAGAAGCAGGATAGGTTTGTGCTGTCGGTTTCCTTGTTTTTCTTGAGATACTCACCATTTGCTTTTAATGCTCCCCATCCAGTGACAAACACTTTACTCTTAGGCAAGACTTCAAAACTAGCATCTGGGAGACAGACTCTGCGCAGGTCTTCAGAAAACAGGACTGGGGTGGCGAGCTTGACCACCGCGATGTCATCATCGTGCTTGTGTGCCGCGTAGTTTTCATGAACGATGATAGACTGCACCTTCCTTTTCTTCAGTGGGCGGTTTAGGGTTGTTCCAAAACTGACGGTCCACAGTTTGGGGTTTTTGTAACTGATCACAGATTAAAAGGAGCAGAGTGGGTTCATGTCTGATCTTACATTGCCCAGGACTCCCGATGGGCAAGGGACATAAATGTGAAAGCGGGGCAAATTTTTAAAGGAGATTGTTGATTTGGTCTTTCCAACCTTTTCTTGCATTAGCCCCATCCTCCGATTTTGCTTTCTAGTTAAGAAATTGTTACAGTACCAAAGAGCCCATAAGTTTAACTGGTTGAGACTATAAAAAATGTCTAGTCTATTGGAGGACCCACTTTTCCAGTCTCACTGGTCAATTACCTGGTGAAAGAACCACTCCTAGGAAGGCAGGTTCACCTTAAATTATGCTAAATAGATGGGCAGAATACCTGGTGTGTTAATGAGGTAGCAAATATTTCCTGCCTGGAACTAGCACAGATCCTGGCAGAACTCCGCAGGACCAGCCACAGTCATGTAGGTCTCCGTAAGTTGGTCCGTTTCCCTGCTTCAGGAAAGCCTAATTTCCCTTTTTCTCCTTCATGCCTTTCTTACTAAACATGTTTTCTTTAAGGCTTTGGACTGCCCCTAGCATCTGTATTTCTTTGCTTATTCTCTAAAGCTTCCTTCTCCTAGCCATGTGGCTCCAGAGTCAGCCATGTGTCTGACCTCCCACTCAGGCTCTAAACCTACAGGGCTTCCCATGGCTTTCTTTCCTTCTTCCCACCATTCACCTCCTCAAGGCAGCTGCCAAGATTGCCAGCTCACCTGCCCTGAGGATTTTTCTATAATATTCTAATAAAAAGCTTCCATTTGAGTCCATCCTTAAATACTTTTATGAATAAGACTAAGAACCATCTAGGGGACCCTTTCTCCCTGTTTCAAAATCTCCCACCATGGGGTAAAATTACTCTCTTTGTAAGTGGGTTTGCATTTTTTAAAGGAACAAAAAAGCATTACTATTTTATTATAAAATTGTGCATATAACTTGAAGAAATATAAATATTAGTATATTTAATGACATACATTCACATCAATAATCACATATGCCCATAACCATGAGTAGTTCCACATTTTTATGCACAGGCATACAGAAAGAAAGACACGGGGAAAAAAGAGAAAAAAAGACACAGATAAATAGATAAAATTAAAGGCACACTTTATAGGTTTTTCTCATGATTCCTTTCCATTGAGCATTTTATGCAGAATATTCCCCATTTTATTTAAATTTCACTAGGGTCACCAAACCTCTCTTTTCTCTCCAAGGGTGCTAGGTGTTAAATCTTCAAAAACTACACAGAAAATAAAAAAAAATATTACCAAAGATATTTGTGTAGAAGAATATCAGATATAAATTATAGCCTTGGCAATTACTGATGAAGTTAAAAATAAAACTGCAATATATCACCAGGCATGGTGGCACACACCTTTAATCCCAGCACTTGGGAGGCAGAGGCGGGTGGATCTCTGTGAGTTCCAGGCCAGCCTGGTCCACATAGTTCCAGGACAGCTGAGGCTATAGGGAGACCTTGTTTCAAAAAGACCAGAAAAAAAAAACAACAAAAAAATTGCAATATATCCCAGGAAAACTGGTGCACATGTTCAATTCTTCACAGTGTTGGCTTGTTCCTACTTAAAACTGAGATTACTGGAAAATGTATTTCCAGGTAGAGCTGAAAAATCTTTTTTTTTTCTACTATTCTTCAGGAATTGTTATTCTTTTCTAAGCTGTGAACAGTAGTCTACCATGTTCACAGATTTGCTGGATAGCTTTAGTGTCAACTTGACATACCTGGGTTGAGGGAGCCTCAACTGGGGAATTTCCTCCATTGAACTGGCCTGTGGCCATGTCCATGGGGCATCTTCTTGATTGTTGAGTGATGTGGGAGGGCCCAGCCCACTGTGGGTGGTGCCACCCCTGGGCAGGTGGGCCTGTGTTGCATAAGAAAGCAGGCTGAGCAGGGGCCAGGGGAGCAAGCCAGTAAGTAGCATTCCTCCATGGCCTGTGTTCCAGCTCCTGCCTCCAGGTTCCTGCTTTGAGTTCCTACCTTGGGCTCCCTGATGAACTATGACCTGGGAGATGGAACATAAAATAAACCCTTTCCTCCCCAAGTTGGTACTGGTCAGAGTATTTTGTCACAGCAATGGAGAAACAAACTAGAACAATGGTGGAGTGGGAAGGAGGTAAGAATAATTGAATACTAAGGGGAAGAGAAGTGACACTGATGACCCTGAGGATGCAGACTGAAGACTTACTTGTCAAAGCAGTGAGCAGACGTCACAAGCCACTGGGAGCTAATCAGAGATGCACCACAAAGGTGGATGTTGTCCATCTGTAGGCTGGTTTGCCATGGCCAGGCAGCTCTGTCTGCAGTTATGCCATCAGCAATTCTTGCTGTCGGGGGGTACTCCATCCCCAAGCCACAGCCTGACAGGAAGGAATGACATGGTTATTTCCAGAGAGTTATAAACATGTCTAGGTGCATCTGACAAGATAAGCATGCAAACAGGTATAGATGTGACTTGCCTTTAAAACATTCATTGAAATTAACAGTAAATATGATGGAGATAGGGAATATTCGGGTTGATATATTATGCATACTGTTGGGACTGAATCAGCAATAACATTTAGAAGTTACTTAACACTTTCTTTGGTATGTTTGAAGAAATTTCTCTTTGAAATTAGTTTTTCACATTTTCTGAGTCATATTCATATATATAACAGTTTACCCTGTGTTATTTGAGATTTTGAAGTGTTCATACACACTTCATTTATACTTTAAAATACTTTAAGATATATCACAGTATTATAAATATCAGCTTCCATATCATAGCTAGTGGATACCATTTAAGTTTAAGCAAAATTTTCTACTTTAACAAAGTAAACTGGATAAAAATTAAGTGGAAAATACAAGGAAATTATTAAAGCCATCATCAGAGAATCTTGCTATAGGAAAGATAATATATTCCCACAGAGTTCATAGAAATTCCTATTAATAATTTTTTCCACTCAGAAAAAGTAAGTCATGTCTCCATTTATAGATGTTGTAGATGTCTGTGATGTAGTAAACATGGAAACACAGGAAGATCCAAAGTGTCATGAGGTTGGCGCTTTGCTTTCTAAATATCTCAGTGATATTCTTGGACTTACTGCTGTTTAGAATATGTTCTGCTTGTGCTCTGTTCATTTCTGAAAAAAAAAAGTCATTGCTCAGTGAGGCAACTGTTTTAAAATAAAATTCCCACTTGGCATTACATTTTCTGCTTGGGAAAAACAGGAAATTCTTAATGTAAAAATTACAGAATAGACCACAAAAGGAGGTGCTGGAATACCAACTAAACATTGGTTTGTAATTACTAAGCCATTATCACAGAGAGGTATTTATTTGTCAGGAAGGAGAATAATGTCAAACCAATTTATTAAGTAGAAGCTGAAGAAGAGGCGTGTACAGCCATTTTCACTCATGCACTGCCCTATGCCTAGGCCTAGACTCTATTCCTTATGCACTATGCTATGCCTAGACACTATTCCTTACGCACTATGCTATGCCTAGACACTATTCCTTACGCACTATGCTATGCCTAGACACTATTCCTTACGCACTATGCTATGCCTAGACACTATTCCTTATGCACTATGCTATGCCTAGACACTGATCCTTCTGTCCTCATTTGCATGCTGGCCTACAGTAAAGGTGTGGAAGCATCTGAGAAGCCTGGCATCTGGGCTTGCCCCCTGGATTTTACCCCACTGTATCAAAATCTATGAATATTCAACATGTTGCTCCACCACTTTTTATTTGTAAAATAAAATGGAAAAAGGTATGATCTGTGGCTATATCCCCAAATTTGCACTGTTCCGTATGCCAGCTTGTATAATGAGAATCAGACCCAACCATGTTAATATGAATCTCAATATAGCATTTCAGTGACAGGTCTTTAATTTAGGTGAGACTCAAGGGACATTAAGCTGACAGCTATCCTTGGGGAATTTATTAGAGAAAATCCTTATGATTAGATTTTGTCTAGTGTCTTCTTTAACCTTTACACTATGTACAGCTGGCCCTAGGTGGCATGGTTCCTGTTTATGTTCTTGATGTCACACTCTCTCCTTACACCCAGGCTTCGGTTTCCTGACTGTGCCTGCTCTTGCTGCAAGCCTTTGTTCCAGCTGCTAACTCTTTTGGGAATGCTTTTCCCTTGGTCTTTTTATGCAGGATTCCCTCTTGTCCTGCAGAACTTAAATGGCATCTCCCTTGTGGAGTCTTTCCATGACAAAGAGAGCTGAAGTGGCACCCTGCTCTCTGTTCTTCCCAGGGAGTTCCACATTATTCGGTTTTGAGCAGTTCTTTCACTTATCGTATCAATATCTTTCCCCTTTCAACTAGAACATTAGTGCTAGGAGTACAGAGAATTAAGTTTCTGAATCAATACAAGTTGCTGAGTGAAAAAAATTAATAATGACCAGTAATTTTCCAGATCCTGTAAGGCACAGGCTGTGACAAACACCTATTTTCTTATTATATCTTTGTAGTAATATCAATAATCACATTTATTAAAAACATAATTTAATACTTGCTGAGAAAAAAAGTCTCCATGTCACTTGGCCTTACACTGGAAGCTCAGCTATACTTTAATACAATCTTCTGTTAGGAATAGACCAGTGAAAAAAGGGTAAGGTTATGGTTAATGAATGAATGAGTGAATTTATAGCTCACTTTAAATTTTATCTCAAGCTCACCTCTACCTGCTCAGGAACTATTGATCTACTACTATATTGGAGTTACATTTCACTTATGAGCATAATGCAGTAGAATTGTTCTTCCTGTTTGATGAAAACGTTGTATAGTTTCAGTTCTGGAACAAGATTGTGCAAACTCACTTTTTCCTATTCGTCTCCTATAAATACACCAAGCTAGAGTCCACACTATATTTGTGGGTTTTGTATCTGTGGATTCAATCAACTGTCAATCAGAAATATTCACAAAACATTGCATCTAATGTAAATTTTTTGCAATGTTCCCTAAATAATACAGTATACCAAGTATTTACAAGGAATTTACACTACATTAAGTTTTATAAGTAAACAACAAATTATTTAAAGTACATTGAAAGGCTTGGAGGAGTAGACCAATGGTAGAGTACTTTGCCTAACATGTTCAAGTTCCTAGGTTTGAACCCTAGCACTGCCCCTCCCCCCTACACATGAAATACATAGGAGGATGTACATAGGTTATTTGCCAGTGCTATGCTATTTATATAAGAATTGATACCAAAGGCTGAATATATTCTGAAAATTATTTGTAACAGTAAAGAGCCTCTGAAAGCTGTAAAGAAGACAGGGTGATGAAAGACTTCAGATTTTGAGGAAGGACAAGTAGTGAGCTTTTGAGTTTTCTCTTACCTATAGCTTGGACTGGGGACCAGCCTGTCTGTCTATATCTATCAATAATCACAGATAAATAATCCCAACAAAGTATATTCTCTGTTCAAAGTAATGGGAGAAGAGAAGGACAAGAGATCCTCAGGAAGCTCAGACCCCTACTGGCAGTCCATTCCTCTGGAAGCAGTGACTGCAGGAAACTGTTTACCATCAGAATTCCAACATTATAACCAAGGCACTGTCAAGCAAACCAAACCAGTAACAGAGACATCCACAGATACTTGCCTCTACCCAGTGGCTCAAGGAGATATTGGCCAAGTGTACTCTTCTGAAGATAGGGACCCACTGATACAGGCAAGTCAGAGAATTGCATTTTGCTCCCACAAATAGCAGTCACCAGACAAGAATAACATTGCTCCTGTAATCCCAGAACTGGAGGCAGAGACAAGGCTTGCTGGCCAGCTAGTCCAGCTAGTCTATCTGAGTCAGTGAGCACTAGGTTCAGTGAAAGACTCTTAAAAAATAAAGTGACAAGTCTTAGAGGAAGACATCTGAAATTGGCTTCTGGCCTCCATACTCATGTGCAAAGATGTGTAGGTGTGCCCATCTAACCTGAATATGAGAGAGAGAGAGAGAGAGAGAGAGAGAGATATAAAATGTGTTTCTCGCCTCCATACACATGTGCAGAGATGTGTATGTGTGCACATATATCCAGAATATGAGAGAGAGAGAGAGAGAGAGAGAGAGAGAGAGAGAGAGAGAGAGGACAGAGAGAACAAGAGAGAGAAAGAGAGTCATATAAAAATAACATTATACCTCATACATACTGGGTGCCTTCAATGAAGGCTTTCCTTCAAGAAGTCTTACCTACACTATGTAAAGTCCAGTTCTTAGATTCAGAATCTACTCTGTTCTATCTCCAGAGACCTCAAGTTTTCATTTTCAAGTTACTTGTTTTTTCTTTCTGACTTTGGCCAAACCTATAACATTGTCTTCTCCTGTATATTTAAATACATAATCAATCTAGCACTCTCAAACAGTTTTGGTAAAAAGGTAATAGGGGAAGATTTATTAGTGAATTTAACTTTATTAGTTTTATAATATTTCATAGTTTAAAGAAGTTCTGATGAAATATGACAACTTATAAATCAACTTATAGGGTAACAGCTATCTGAGAATTATAAAGAATTTTATAATGTTATCTTATACCCCAAACATTTTCAACTACCTCTCTATGTCTATGTTAGCAATCTGAGATATTTTCTTTATGAGATCTTGTCAGGGCCCGGCATCTTTCTTCTGCCTACTCTGTGTCGTAGGCCAAACCTATCTTCTGTGCTGTAGGATCATGTAATCTAAAATATAAGATCTTCCAGTAGACCTCAGATCATGTTCGTCCCAGTACTTTGTGTTTTGTGTGTCCACACCACCTTTACATTCTAAATTCAATCTGGAGAAAACACTGCAGGAGGAAGAAGCAAGCTTTAGAGATTACTGTATTGGTAATAAAGGGTTGGCTGTTTTTAAATATCACATGCATACTTACTTAAAAATGTTAGTAATATTTTTAATTAGAGAATAAGTTTTATATTTGGATAATCCTGTAGTTCATATAATTACTTCCATACCAGACAAAGGAAGATAATTGTTGGCAATTTGTTCATTATCAAGTAACTCAGACACTGAAAATGAAAAATGATTTCATTTTATAATTAAATGAACTTTTCTCTGTAAATAAGATGTTAAAATCATCAACCATTACAAGAAGAAAATAGCAGTTCTTGCCTCTAAGGTAAGGCAATGAAGCATCTCCCTTCAAGAAGCTATTGCTGGCCTGAATCTTCTTATGCAAAATGTTATCAGCTTGTCTTTTCATGGTGTCTGCGTTGTAAGAGGGAAACTGAAATTTAATCAGTATGTCTGCTTTCAAACCATCATTACTTGACCTGAAAAGAAAAGCACCAGAGTGAGACTATAGCCAGAGTAATTATTACTAGTATTATACGGTTACTACTTAAACGTTACTTAGATCTTCAAGAAAATAAAATACAAATAGTTTATACATGTTAGGGTCATGATTTTTCCCTTTATATACTACATTGATATTAATTCATAGATTATTTCCCATTTATAAAACTTGATCACATTTAGGGAGCAGAGAGCTATCTGTCAGTTATAGATCATTGTTTTGAGGGAAAATTAATTCAAGGTATTTGTTAAATATAACTTTGTATTTGTATCATATATATGCTCATATATTTATATTTCAGATATCCACAGCAGATATTTGCCATAAAGTGAGTAAAGTTAGCAGAAGTAATTGAAGAATGAATAAATCTTCAATTGAACTGCAAAAATCCTTAAAAAGGACAAACAGAATAAATTTCATGATTACTCAAGAAGCTCCACTGGTGTGCTCTGTACAGGGGCAAAGGCACTGTGAAAAGATTATGCTAGCTTTGCTTTTGGTATGTGTAAAGTCTAGATTCTGTCCACAAAAAAAAAAGTGAAGAATAAATAGTTGCCCTTTCCTTAGACACACTCATTAGTTGTGATTACCTGAAGCTGGCAACATGAGATTTGATGTAGTGGTGTTTTAAACTGGATCTTCGAAATATTTTATCTATCTGAGAAACAGAAACAAAGAGAATAGAGCTTTGTTAAATATTAATTTTATATATTTCAATGTAAAAGAAAAACATTTATGTAAAGCCTATAGTCATTTTCCTCCGTGTATGTTTATAGTTATCTCCAGGAAGCTTATTTGATCATAAGCTTTTTGTTATAAAATCCTCTCTATAATTTGAACAATATTCTGCATGTTCAAAGATGACCAGTATAAAGAGGTGACTGAATCTAGGTATTTCAACAGCAGCTTTAAATACACAGGGAGTTGGAGATACAGAGATTATCTGTGAGAGGTTGTCATGTGTGGATTCATCTCTCACTCATCATTCAATAACTTCAAACTCAGTTATCAGCCTCATGGGCGTGATTGACAGATTTATAATTTTAGTCTCTAGTAAAATATTTTTAGGTAAAGTTTTGACCCTATGGTGAATGGGGGAGGGGAGGAGAAGGCATACATACTTGGGCACTTCTCTAAACTTAGTTACATATAAAGAGAAATGTATAACATGTTTACTTAGAATAAAAATTAGACTATGAAAGCCTGTGCATGCCATATTGGATTTACTATGTGAGATGCTTTTCCTGTAGTGCAAAATCCTAGATCAATTTATTTCTTAATAAAGCAAGAACAATGGCAACAGGATAGTGGGTATCACATGCCCACTTATTGCTATCAACTTGAACACTACATCCCTAAGAAGCAGACAGGGCCACTGATAGGTAACAAAGACGGCACACTTTCTGCTTCTTAACCTGAGATGGATCTGAAGGCTTTTTCTCCTCTTGGCAGGGCATGGACCCTCCTTTCACTGATCAGTCCAGACCAGTTTAACCAAGGCCAGTCCTGGACATATTGTAGCTTGGAGTTGTGGCCTATTTGCTCTCTCTTCATTAAGTTGATCAACCCAAAATTAGAGGAGGGAACCTGCCCGTACCACCAAGACCAGTCCCCTCATCCCCCCAGGGGCTTTGGATTTTTGGTTTCTGAATCCCTTCTCTACTTGTAGAGAGTCTCTCTATATGAATGTGTGTGTGTGTGTGTGTGTGTGTGTGTGCATGTGTGCACGTGTGCTTGCACGTGTATGTGTTTGCTTTCAATAGTTACCTGTTGTTTTCTGCTGTATCTGAGATTTTTTTTCCTTACCTTTTATTTTTTAATTGGTAGAGAAAAAAAAAAAACTATTAAGACCTCTAGACAGTAACAGACTCATCACACTGGCTTGTCAGAAAGGAAAACTCATCCTATTGCAAACCTGAGTATGAGCAGCTAATTGTACAGATCTCAGGAGAAGCACTGCCAAATCTGAGCCAGGGCACATGATGCACGTGCTGTGTACTCACCTCATTTAATTTATAAAATTTTCTTCAGTGAAATGTCAGGTGATGTATATCAGATAGAGTGGTAAGAAGTATATCAGGAAATCTCTAGGTACTAACCCTAAACTGAATGTATAAATTCTTGAGGAGCTCAACAATTCAGACTATTTATTCTTTGATATTGAATAATATTGATGTACTTTTCTATAGTACATTCATTAAAAATACTCTAAATGTATATATTAGCTTTATATAAATTATATATGCATACAAAACTATTTCCATAAAAGTAAAAGCCTTCAAAGTAAGTTATAAGGAAGTATGTGGGCATTTATTTTATTAACAACTACCGAGAGGGATTGGAAGGGATGGAGGAGTTGATGCAGGGAGTAAAAGAGATGGAAAAGATGCAAATACAATACTCATGTATGAAATTCTCAAAAAATAAAAAATTTCCTTTGGTTATGCTTTTAAGAAAACATGTACATCCCACTCATCTCATGAGCTTCTTCTTTTGACTGTGAAATGGCCAAGAAATTATTTTGAATCCTCTAAAAGTGGTACAACATCTCTGGTCTATGCAGAGTGCAACAGAAACTGTGTTCACTACTGAAGACTTCAAAGGAAGAGTGCTGGTCTATGTGTTTCTATAGAACACATTCAGGAGCAGTTGTTTGTTATAACTAGTCTAAAGAGGAAAGCATCATCCACAGAGAAAATTCTTAAAAAGTGGTATGTGGTGATGTTTGTGCTTGAAGAACTGAATTATATTCCCATATAACTCTTAATCATTCTTTTGTCTTTGAACTATTTGTTTTTCTGTTGGTTTTATGCATTTAGTTTCTGGTAGAGTATTTTTCATTTAATGTATTTTTCTGGATTTCCTGAAATAACATTGATTAGATATTCCAAACTCAGAAAATAAAATTTTAACATATATTTTAGATAAACAATAAATGATTTTTTAGTACAGTATGTTCCAAGTACTGTGTACAGATATTTTTAGAAGGATACGGATTTAAAACTTAATTAGGAATTTCATATTTTATCTGACAACCTAAAAGCAATTGTAATTAGATACTTTATCAACTTGTCTACTACTTCCCATAGTATTGGAGTATAACTTTAGATAATTATTACTCCAGAGGTCAAGCTGTCTCTAACTGAATATACTGCTTCTTGTAACAAAATAGTATACATTGTATTTTCTTCATACCCACTACTCAAAATTTCCAGAGTAGTAATGATGCTAGCAATGGGTAGACTTACCTCATTGTTGAGTTTTTGTTTGAGGTCAGTACTAAGTTTTGACTGCTCTACAGACAAATCAGAATTATATCTCATACTGGGAATCTGGAAGGAGGCCTGGTAATAGTGAATCTTCTGATCTGGAAGGCAGAACAAAGGTGGGTGACTTCTACTAGTCCTTTTCAGTTGTGTAAAAGAAGTAGAGGACATAAAATTTTCCCTCAGAAAGCTTTTATGCTGTAAGTGTGGTCCACAATATGATGGTATCGAAAGGTCATGTGTCCTGTAAGAGATGGGACTGAGTAGGAGCTGACTGGGTCATGACTGCCCAGAGATTAACATTAGTTTTGGGAATGATCTGGACGCCACCTTCCTGAAGACTAACTCTCATAGTTTTGGAGAACACTATGTGAGCTGCTAAGGAAAAACATCAATTGATGGTCTAACTCCAGCTTTAAGATCTAATAACCACAACAATGACAGGCACAACAACTATGTAGGGACAGTGGTGGCACTTCTATCTTGGAGGTAATCAACAGCTACTTAATTGGACCTAAAGCCCACTCAGTGGGAGGGAACTCATGTGTGGTACTGTAAACATAGCCAAATACACATGGCTGGAGATGTCATAGATCTTAGAGAAAACTCCAAGACTGTCACATTCCTAAACAAATGTAATTTTTTAATACATGCTAAATATGAATCTTATATTTACAGACAATATGTCAGTCACCACTCATCAAAGAGGCTTCCTTTACAACAGAGGCAATTTTTACTACAATAAATTTTTACTGTTAGCATGTATGTTATTATACCAGAAAGTAGCATAGCATGTGAATTTTTGTGCTCTTTGAGGTGTTATATGAACCACACCAGGTTTTAAATGCTATAAGTAATGTCCATGCATTAAAAAAATGATAATTTCTCAAATTTGTTTAAATAAAAATTTCATTCTATAAAAGAATAAAATATAAAGGTTTAGAAAAACATTGAGTAAGTCTTCAAATTAACAAAGTAATATACTGAGGTAGATACTTACCATATGCCAAAAAATTAACAAGGAGGCCAATAATTATTGCCAGAACCAACAAAACAGCTGTGATGATCAGAGCGACCATCCATGGTTTCCAAAAACTTGATCTTCTACCCAGGATCCCTGGCCTTTTGTGAGAAAAAACTGTGTATTAAAAACAAATAGAATTCTAAGACTAAAATTTTTGGCATACAAATGATTTTTTTCCCTGGAGTTCTTAGTTAACTAATATTGTACTTGAATTTTTGAAAGTATTTTTCTATGGCATATTAGAAAAAAACACCATCAGAAATAAAAAATGACATTTAACTTTACATTTTAAAGTTGAAGCATCAATCAGCACTACACTACTTTGTCTATTTTCTGGGGCATGACAACAGGCATTCTGAATGTTTTTTCTTTTTCATATGGTAAATGAACTAACATCACACATTTGTGCTTCAGATTACAGAGAACCCCCAAGTATGATGGTGATGGCATCTCCATCATTCTTCTCATTCTACAGGAATTACGCCGTAGATCATCGAGGCCTCCAAGATGAGAGAACCTGAAACAGGACTCAGTCTACTTGAGTTTCTTCTTGCTTGTTCTTTTCATAATTTTATACTTAAGCTGTAAGCATCATGTATAAGACATGTAATTCATACTGCATATAAAGAACACAAAATTCAGATAGATTTAAGAAAGTAGCAGAGGCAGGAGGATCTCTGTGAGTTCAAGGCCAGCCTGGTCCACATAATGAGTTCCAGGACAGCTGGGGCTACAGGGAGACCCTGTCTCAAAAAGACCAAAAAAAAAAAAAAAAAAAAAAAGTAGCAATGGAGGTAATTATAAGGAAAAATAATTAACAAAATGAAAAAAGCTGATGAATATAATTAATAGACATAAACGGTGACAAATCAGAACTCTGGTATGACATGATGAGTACTACATAGGTTTATAATGTTTCAACCTGTGACTTTCTAAAAGATGATATTTCACAAGACAAGGCTATGTTTAATTGAAGAAACCGAACATCAGCTTCAATTAAAACATTATAATAATAGCGTCTGCAGCATGCAAATGTAGAAAAGAGCCTGAAAGTAACATGCAGCGTGATCTTTGGGAAGCTCTTTGTAACATGGAAAAGTTCTGTTCCAACAGAGCTCACAGTGCAAAGATAAGATCTGAGTAATTATAGAGTTGGGGTAAGATAACACTGACATGGGATGCCCAGGAAGATTTAGTGCATAGAAGAAATGTATGGAATATGATTCTGAAAGCCCAATATGCTGGTTCTTGTTCTGTCAAAACTTGATATGAACAAGAAAGAATTGCTTTCCCAAGGATTGCTTCCTGGGAGTGGGAAGGCAGAAATGATGCAGTTAAATAACTGAAAAGATTAGCTGAGTTGCCGCTTTCAGCAGCGATACATGGAAGGAATGAAAATGTATTTGATATACTGTAGTCTGGACAAAGGAAAGACTTGAAGCAGTTTCCTAACCCAGAACCATCAACTTGAGCTCTGTTAAATTATTCAGCTACCAAAAACTCTGAGTTTAGTGGCCTTCTGAAAAGATGTAGAGTTAATGGGACCTAACATTTTTTGTTTAGTGGCAAGAGAAAAGCACTGTAATTAGCACCAGCAGAAGTATTGTGTTAGTAGCTTTGCATTACTATGACAGAATACCTGACAGACTCCACAGCTCCTGAATAGTGCAGGAGCCCAGGAGCAAACATTCAAAACTTGCCCAGTGAAGGACATTTCAGATTCAAATCATAACATTCCATTCCTATCTCACAATGCAGAATGCATTCAGTCCAACTTCAATTTCAAGAGAACATTTTTTTTGGTCTTTTTGAGACAGGCTTTCCTTGTAGCCCCAACTGTCCTGGAACTCACTATGTAGACCAGGCTGGCCTTGAACTCACAGAGATCTGCCTGCCTCTGCCTCCTTAGTGCTGGGATTAAAGGCATGCGCCACCACGCTGGCCTTTAGCAGTTCCCATACTGTTCAAAAGTCGAAAGTTTAAGGCTCTTTTGAGACTAAAGGCAAAAACAGCTGTAAGACCCTGTAAAAATTAAAAAGGAAGCTACAAACTTCCAATATACAATATCAAATATCAATATGCAATATCAATATACAATATCAAATATACAAATATACAAATATACAATATACAATATCAATATACAATATCAAATATACAAACTTCCAATATACAATACAATACAACAGAATAAGCATTAAAGTTCTGAAAGAAAGCAACAGGAAGACAGGAAGGATAGGACCCTGGTAGCACAGGCATTAAGACCAACTGACAATTGGCCATCATGAAATTAGAAGCTCTGATACAGCAAAGGACATCATCTTTTGAGTGGGGAGGCAATCTACAGAATGGGAAAAAATACTTTCCTACGCATCTGACAGAGGGTTAGTATCTAGAATATACAAAGAAATTGAAAAACTTAGTATTAAACAACCCAATGAAAAATTGAGGCAAGGAATTAAACAGAATTCTCAAAAGATGAAATGCAAGAATCTGGAGGGATGGCTTAGGGGTTAAGATCATTGACTGCTCTGGCAAAGGACCTGGGTTTGATTCCCAGAACCCACATAGCTGCTAACAACCATCTGTAACTCCAGTTCCAAGGGAACCTGATGCCCTCTTCTGACCTCTGTGGACATCACATGACACGGGTACACTTGCATACATGCAGGCAATACACTCATATGCATAATATAACATAATAAATAAAAAAAATTTTAAAGATGAAACTCAAATTGTTGAGGAATAGATTTTTAAAATATTCAACACTGGGACTAGAGAGATGGTTCAGCAATTAAAGAGCACTGGCTGCTCTTGCAGAGGACGTGGGTTTGGTTCCCAGCATCCACACTACAGTTAACAACTGTCAGCAATTCTGGTTCCAGAGGATACACCACCATCTTCTGACCTCTGTGGATGTTGCATGCATGTGGTACACATATACTTATAGGCAAAATATTCATAAAAAAATTTTTTTTAAATGTTCAGCATTTGTATTCATCGGCAAAATGAAAATTAAAACTACTTTGAGATTTCCTCTTACCCCTCTCAAAATGATTAAGATCCAAACAAATGGGAACACTTATTCACTGCTGGTGGGAGTGTAAAATGGTGTAGCCAAGAAGGAAATAAGTATTGAGGCTCCTTAAAAATCTAGAAATAGATCTACCACATGATCCAGCCATACCACTCTTAGGCATATAAGGACTCAGTATCCTACTATAGAGAGATATATGTTCATCCACATTCATATCTGCTCTATTCATAATAATCAGGAAATGGAAACAACCTAGATATTAATCAGTGATGAAAGGACAATGAACATGTGGTACATTTATATGATGGAATGTCATTAAGTGATTAAGAAAAATGAAATTACAAAATTTGTAGGTAAATGGATGGAGCTGGAATCAACCATCCTGAGAGAGGTATCCCAGACCCAGAAAGACAAACATCACAGGTTCCCTCTTTTCATATAGTTTACTGTCAAGGATAAGTGTTTCAGATGAGTTTCTAGGTTTACACTCTGGAGACTTAAGTGGATGGGGTTTCATCATCATGACATATTTCCTGTTGTCCCAATGCAAAGTTCAAGGCTTCTCTTTAAATGTGCTAGACTCTTTAACAATTACAGCCCTTTTTTCCAAGCTTTAAGTACACTCTCATGCCTATAGTACACGTGTTCCACATCCTCTGCTCTCCTTTTTGTTATTAAGTCTCACTATAAACTACAAGCAGTCAGCAATAACACTGCTACAGTCTTAACACTATGCTGTCTGAAAATGTTCTTCACTAAATAAAGTAGTTCATTCATTTGAATTCAGACATGAAGAGAATGTAGACAAGTTATCTATCAGCATGTAACATGAATGTCCTTTAGTCCAGTTCCCAATAGAGCCCTTGATTCCCTCTGAGCACTCATGAACAGTCTTTACAACCCATGTCTCTGTCAGCATGGTGGTCTTCTGAAATCACATCCAATTAACTCACTTTAATTCTTACAGCTTCTCTAGCCTACTCTTCTAATTCTTCACCATTATTCCATAAATAGATTCCACATGCTCGAGAAGCACACAATCAGGTGTAGTCACAGAAACTGCCTCACTTCTGTAGCACCCTAATTTTCGCTGTTCTTTCCTTTTGCATTGGTATAGCAGAACACCTGACAAAACAATTTAAAAGAAAGTTTTATTCTGTCTCACATTTTCAGAGGGGTTCAGTCCACCATAGCAGAGAAGGCGTTGGAGGGACAGTTCATTTTACTGTGGTAGGGGTATATGGTGGAGGACAACTCTTTACATGTGACAGATTGTGAAGCAGAGTGGGACTGGAGAGAAGGGCCAAGAATAACTTTCAGGAGTCTGCCCCAAGGACCTGCTTCTGCCAACAAGGCCTTACCTGGTAAAGGCACCATAGCCTTTTAAAACAGTGCCACCAACGGGAGAAAAGTATTCAAAACAGGACACTGTGAGAGTTATTTCAGATTCAAGTCAAAGCTGGGCAGAGGCAACAGCTGATGAGCATTTCCATCTCCCATATTAGCACAACCGTGCAACTGTGAACATGCTCATTAAAATGTGTAGAGACTGAAAGCCATTGAGACAGTCTGCTGTCTTCATGGATGGGATGTGTAATCTAGAGACACACAAAGGTCCTGCTGTACCACCACTGCAAGACTTCAGTATGGAGCTATAGCCAATGCTATCAGTCATCAGTGGGTACTAATTATCTTAAGAAAGTTGTCATTTGCTCTGATCCTCGATGGCTAAGGAGGAGGAATTAGTTGGCAAGGGTGATATGCACCTCAGCAAGTGGGACAAGCACAAGCAAAGACAAGGTAACATGAGAACTAAGGATATTCTCAAGAAAAAAAAAAAAAGCATGGATGGGAGATACACTGAATTCATGTGCTTATTAGTTAACCCAGTAGGCATTTATTCAGAATTGCTATGTGTAAACATAGGGGGATAGAGAGGAGAATCTTCGGTAGATCTCCCTTTAGAAGAATTTATAATCACATGAAGAAGGAGAACATTGTTCACAAATTACTACCAAAATTACAGAAAAATTCAGTGGTGTGTGTGTGTGTGTGTGTGTG